TTCAACAAAACCTTTTTTTTATGTTATAAATGTAAATTATCTGTAATATGTCCAACTTATTTGAATCTATTTATTTAAATACATTCGGGTGGACAAAAAAGTGCACTGCATTTTTATTTATGTAAAATTTAAATGTTTGATAGTTACAGCAATGATATATGATTATCGGTAATAACGATATACCTTTACCTGGTATATGTCTGCTTTGCTAAGCCTGAAAGGAAAGTATAATATTTTATTTTATTAAAAATAAAATAGCATCATATTTGCCTAGGAGCTGCACCGTGAAAAAAATTCCCAAACGTAGATGTCGCAGGTTTTGGCGCGAATAAGGTGTATCAGGACTGTGATTAGGTTTGTTTAGTTTTCGATTCAGGAAAATGTCGCAAAAGTCGATATTGTAAGTATAAAAGTTCTGCAACTTGACAATTGTTTTGTTGAGATCAAACATTTAATAACTAATTCTACAATGCGATTACTTTTGTATCGTGTCATATAAGTATATATGATTAATAGTAATGTGTATACTTACTGTTCTTTATTGCTTTTACTATTTTTTTCTCAAATTTTATGATTTAGCTGGAATCTGTGGAAATACGTGCAACTTTGTCAAAAATAGTACTTACTAACTCATTAAGTGCGACTTGTAAGATTTATCTAAGAAGTAAGAGTACGAGGTCGGTTATAGAAACTTATCAATACCATTACTGGGGTCTAGACTATTTGCAGTACTAAGACTTGTGCTACAAGTACAATAATTTATCGTGTTAGTACTAGTAGTGCTGCCCAATAGGCCTAGTTTACCAAAGTTTGGCCTATTGCAAGGTTTTGCGTAATTTAACCACGTACTTGTTGCCTAGCGACAGCTTTAAAGCTAAGAGAGTGGTTATTTTCTTTCTTTCTTTCTTTTTTTTCATATTAGAAATACCCACAAATTACGATGAAAAAATGACTTATAAATAAATATACTCGCGTTTTACTGGCATAAATATTGTAGGAAATACAAAAATTCTAAATATTTTAATACTGTGAATTATAAAAGTTATCATTTCTGGAATTGAGGTCTTTTTACTTTTAGAGAAAATTGGATTATATGTTGTTTAACAATACATGAAGATCCGGAATTTGAAATGAAAGTGTAGTATATGTTATGAGGTTTCATTATTGGTTTTTGTTTAGTACAAAAGATGAGAATTTTTAATGAAAAAACTTATATTTAGAAAGACATTATATATGATTTATCACAATTTGCTAAGTAATTTTTTATAGCCTTGGAATAACTAATTGCATATATAAACATGATATGGTGCCTGAGTTATTGGAAATAGAATTTCTGAGATTGTCAGAAGTCCATTTTTCTGAAACGTTATGTGATGAAATTAAATAGAAAAAGAACTTGTCGAAATACATAACTTAAAATGGAGTGTATCTTGTTTATAAATACCATAAAATTTTGCATTAAAGAACACCAGAAAGAGCAAGTTGATAATAAAGTTGTTTGACTTCATCAAAAACATTCCTCAGTTGCTACAACAACCATCCAAGCATAAAACCTTTCAGTATAGCTATCTGATAAAAGTTTAAAATAATTCATACAAACAACACATGAAATCATGTGAGAGAAACCATTCCACAATATAACTGATCAAAGGTGTATTTTAGCAAAGAACAAAACTTTATCTAGGCTCCTCAGAGCTAAGTCTGTTACACATATTATGTAAACAAGTTCATATTTCTGATCCTTGAATTTCATCATTCAAATAAACCACTCATAGGAATATTTAAATTAAATTGTTTTAATATGTTTACATTTGAGAGAAAATCTAAAACATTAAGACTTTCATAGCTTATGTTTCAAAAATAAGTTATCCCAGTTTCCTTTTGTAACTTGTTTGATATTTTTCTTAAATTTTGTGACCAGGCTCCTTTATTAAGATTTTGTTTGCAAACATACTCTGGAATATTGTTTTAACCTTATGTATAACTTTTTATTGTAATTTCACATATTTTTATTTTCACTGGTATTTTATGCATAATAGCATTGTA